CATCTGTTATTGAAAAGACAAGGGCATACGAACTTATTAAATTTTACAGGAAAATAATTACTAAATCTTTGCCCGCACTAAAAAAAACATAAAGAAATTCGAGGCTGGAAGAGTATCTGTGAAAAGATCATGAAATGGATGCCAAATATTTTACCTTCTATGGAAAATGTCTTTCCAACAAGTGAGAAGCGATGGAAAATATTCATTATTTCAAAACAAATACTTTTAACGATTTGATTGCCCTATTTTTAAATTGAATATCTGTTTAAAACCACTAAAGCGTTTCTGCCACTTGACAATTAACGACCGTTGTCCTTATTGCATAGTATTTAGTGCAGATCCAAAAAAATGGGGACTGTAGCGAAAATAGTTAGGTAGATAAACTTAAATATATGGACATTACAGCCAAGAAAATAATCACTGAGACGAACAAAAAGTTTCCACAACAGCAGCACGTGGAAATTCGAAACTTATCCGATTTGGAAATTGATGCGAAACTAGGTGAAAATTATCAGTATATTATTGGGGTAACTCGTGCGTTCGAGTTTGGTGGTGTAATAAGTATTGACAATTATAAACACAAAATGGCCCAAGTGATTGGAAGAGCTTCTTTAAATTTTGATTGTGTTGGATGGCCATTCAGGGGATATGAGCTGGAAGAGGCAATTTCAGTCTTGAAAGAATTGTCAGAATATTACAATGCTAATTTGGATATTGATAAAATGATAGGGAGATTAAACATGAAAAAGGATGATGATAATTTTTACTACATTGTCATGACAGTAGTCATTATCCCAAATTTTCGTTTTGAATAGTATCTTTTTGATGCAATTTTGATTTCAGTCAGTCAGCTGTATGTGATAATTCATTGAGAGTCGCGTTCGCTTATTAACTAATCGAAAAAGCCGGAGACTCCCTCCGGCTTCGACTATTAATAGCCTGTAACGTTAGTGAATCGAAATTACTAATATTGGAGAAGTGACATTGAGGAAAAAAACATTTTTTTATTGTTTTTTACCTTTGGATAGAAAATTACTCTATCAAATTGTTTTTCACAGCAAAAAATACTAAGCCGGCAGTATTCTTGCTCCCAAACCTTTCCATTAGCCTGTCTTTAATGGCTTCAACGGTCCTTGGGCTGATCTCCATTTTCTGAGCGATCTCCTGAGCGGTAAATTCCATACATATGAATCGAAGTACGTCTCGCTCTTTATCGCTGAGTGTAATCTCATTATTGAGGGAGGGTACTACTTTCTGGCGAGAATGTGATTTTTTAAGCAGGATTCGATTGACAAAGTTGTTCAGGTAATACCCTTTTTCATACACTTCCATA